GCAGCTATAACAGCTTCAACTCTTCTGGGAAGGCCGTCCATAAGGTTTGGGAGTGTCTATGGGAATGTTTGACCAATCTTCCAGAAGCTCATTTGTGAAGTCAGGCACTGATGTCGGATGAGAAGGCCTGGCTTGCATTCTCCACTCTAATTCATCCCAAATGTGTTCTATCGGGTTGAGGTCAGGACTCTGCAGGCCAATCAAGTTCCTCCACCCCAAGCCCGCTCATCCATTTCTTTGTGGACCTTGCTTTGTGCACTGGTGCGCAGTCATGTTGGAACAGGAAGGGGCCATCCCCAAACTGTTCCCACAAAAGTTTGGGAGCATGAAATTGTCCAAAATGTCTTGGTATGCTGACACCTTAAGAGTTCCCTTCACTGGAACTAAGGGGCCAAGCCCAACCCCTGAAAAACAACAACCCCACACCATAATCCCCCTCCACCAAACGTTACACTTGACACAGTGCAGTCAGGCAAGTACTGTTCTCCTGGTAACGGCCAAACCCAGACACGTCCATCAGATTGCCAGACAGAGAAGTGAGATTTGTCATTCCAGAGAACACGTCTCCACTGCTCTAGGGTCCAGTGACGGTATGCTTTACACCACTGCATCCAACGCTTTACATTGCACTTGGTGATGTAAGGCTTGAATGCAGGTGTGTGTTGGATATCATGCATTGTAGATAATGCACTATATGCGATTTATATTTTTTCGAGGGTATTAAGTGGAAGAAGAGGATTTTTATCACTTGTGGAGGAAGAATATTTATTAAGAAGATATCAGCATTACTGGGTGTTTAAAATACAGAGACGCTGACTAAAAGTTGGACTGTGCATTTTGGACTTTCAGGGAAGAAAGTATATATTTTGTTGTCGGGGTTGTGTTTAGCACATAGTATCACACCGGTACATTTATTATCAGTACTGATCACTCCCTGTGTATTAACAACTGAAGCATGGTAAACAGACTTTTTTGGGGGGGAGGAAGGTCCTGTCAGGTTGGCTGTATGGGGCCCCATAGTTTCTAACAGCAGCCCTGACTCACACAAACTACCATGAGTCACACATGATGATGTTACCAATGCTACACTATACTATTCTAGTAGCACACTAGAGGGTGCTACAGATAGATAGATAGATAGATAGATAGATAGATAGATAGATAGATAGATAGATAGATAGATAGATAGATAGATACTGTAGATAGATTTAAACAGAGAAGGCAAAGGAGAGAGAGAGAGATAAATAGATAACAGAGAAGGCAAAGGAGAGAGAGAGATAAATAGATAACTGAAAAGGGATGTAGATAGATAGTTAGCAACCCAACATTTGCAGCATGAGTTATCATTGTACAATGACTGCATCCCGTCCACCCACATACAGTTTAATCTCTCTGTATTCCATCAGCAGCTTTTATGGCCAGGATTGTATTTTGCTCTGGTTCCCCACACCGGATGATTTACACTTTTTAATCGTTCACCCTTTACTGCTTTCAACCATAGCAGCACCGCAGAGAGAATAATCCGATTCCTTCCAGAGTGGCCCCATCCTGATAATTCATTACACAGTCAATAACTCCCCTTTGCAACAGCGTCTTAATTTCCAGTAATCATTCACCCAAACCTAAATGTATTTATTTCTCAGTCAATGATAAATAACCTCCGGCTTCTAACTAGTTTTATTGACTGTGAAATAGAATGCAAATATTATTGCTGGTGTTTTTTTATCCTAACAGTTATTATATAATTTCATTATTACCGGATTATGATCTATATTCTGCAACACCTATAAATATATATCACAATGAACTTCACTTTTTAGAATATTCTTCCTCCACCTCTTGGCTGAAAATCGTTACTTTAAATATAATGTTAATTTAAAGAAATGTGTAAATTATTTGTAATAAAAACTGGTTTGATCTTTTCAAATGTTTTCTATTTAATTAGCCACACCTACTTCATTTATTACAAAGGATCTCATTTACCTTTCTCATTGAAACCTATATTTCAAGCACCAGGCATCAACATGTTTACAATAAATCCTCTTGTGATTGGTTTCCTTTAGGGCTCATGCGCACAGGCAGATTTGCAGGTGTATGTGCATGCAGCATAAAATGCACCTGTATTTGTGGTGCCCAGGAGCCTTAGTTTATGTGCAGTTCTGCCCACAGAAATGAATTATAAAATATGCTGTACGTAGGTCTGTGGCATCCCTAGGGGAGTGCGGGCCGCACCTGGTGACACCATCACAGGAGGGTGCAGGACCAGGATGCCAACAGAGCTTCTGGGCTCTGTGAAGGTCCTGGCCAGTTATTGGGGTGATCCCGGATCACTATGGGTTGCAAGATCAGTTAACCCCGTATAGGTTCAACCTATACAGGGTTAACTGATCTTGCAACCCATAGTGATCCGTGGGATCAGCTTCAGCGGTTTGCAGCCTGTAAGGGGTTAACTGTGGCAGCTCTGTGCTAAAGTTGGAGATCGGCTTCTTCGGCTTGAAACCAGCACATGCACAGTTGCTTCAGGGGATACATATCTTCACAGGATACTCATTTTACCGCTACACTGGCACCGCTCCTTCCTCTCTGGAGGGGTGACACCACGTGTTTTTGTACTGGGTGACACCAACCCTATGGACACATCTGACATAGGTATATCTGTGTGAATGCCATACTTGCATTTACATGTGCATGCCTATAGGCATATTTTCCTAAGGGCACAAGTTTTGCCCATACATGTGTAAAAACATGTAGTACTTTGTGCTACATGTTCCTATGTGCTTGGTAAGCCTAGGAATGGGGTCAGACAGCGAGATCCCCCCTCCCCCTGAGGCCATCTAACGACATAGCTAGCAAGGAGATGGCTACTTCATAGCCAGCCTTGTGTTGGCTTCAAGCACTTATCCGAGACAAGCAGTGGCAAGAGGAATGGGGAGGGGGGGGGGGGCATGTCAGCTTCCCAATTTCATTCTTCTTGCCACTGCTTGTCTCGGGCAAGTGACAATTACCACACAGACATCTCCTTTCTAACTATGTTGTTGGACATCCGTGGGGGGGGTTGACATTTCCAGCCTTGTAACTAGGCTTACAAAGCATGTAGGAACATGGGAAAAAGTACTACATGTAATTTGTCCTGGGGGAACGACACGGAAAAAAAATTTAAGTGAAAGTTCTTCTTTAAAGGCTTAATTTCAATTTTGGCCAGAATGAAGCTCTGAGTTGTATATAAAATGTAGATGTATAGCTTTGTTTGTATTGGTGTTTTGGCGTGAAATACATTTTAACAAACTGACCAGTGGAGACTAAGAGATATAAAAAATATCAGGTTTTCGTTTGACAAAATTAAAGCACTATCTAAAATGTTCTAAATATAGTACTGTGAACAGGGGAATGCTAAACATAGTCAACATGGGCCCTGGCATAGCACATGGGCTGAAAGTGCACACTCTCAGGTTTAATTTGAGGGTATATACATCCAAGTTGGAGGAAGGGTTTAGGAATTACAGCTCTTAAGAGTAGCCATCCCCTCTTTTTCAAGGGACAAAAAGTAATTAGACAATTGAATCAAAAGTTGTTTCATGGCCAGGTGTGGGCTACTCCATTATTTCTTCATCAATTAAACAGGTAAAAGGTCTGGAGCTGCTTCTAAGTGTAATATTTGCATTTGGAATCTGTTGCTGTGAACCTACATAATGCTTTCAAAGGAGCTGTCCATGCAAGTGAAACAGGCCATTGTAAGGCTTCAAAAAACTAAACAAATCCATTAGAGAGATAGCAGCAACATTAGGAGTGGCCAAATCAACAGTTTGGTACATTCTGAGGAAAGAAGAATGCACTGGTGAGCTCAGCAACATAAAAAGGCATGGACATCCACAGAAGACAACAGTGATGGATGATCGTAGGATCCTCTCTATGGTAAAGAAAAACCCATTCACAACATCAAGACAAGTGAAGGACACTCTCCAGGAGGTGGGCGTATCATTGTCAAAGTCTACAATCAAGAGAAGACTTCACGAGAGCAAATACAGGGGGTTCACCACAAGGTGCAAACCATTCATAAGTCTGAAGAATAGAAAATCCAGATTAGACTTTGCCAAAAAACATCTAAAGAAGCCAGATCAGTTCTGGAAAAGCATTCTTTGGATGGATGAAACTAAGATTATTCTGTACAAGAATGACGGGAAGAAAAAAGTGTGGAGAAGGCTTGGAACAGCTCATGATCCAAAGCACACAATGTCATCTGTAAAACATGGTGGAGGCAGTGTGATGGCATGGGAATGCATGACTTTCAGTAGCACTGGGTCTTTGGTGTTTATTGATCATGTGAACGAAGCAGCCGGATTAATTCTGCAGTGTATAGAGATATACTGTCAGCCCAGATTCAGCCAAATGCAGCAAAGTTGATTGGACGACGCTTCACAGTACAGATGGACAATGATCCAAAACACACTGCAAAAGCAACCCAGGAGCTTTGGAAGGAAAAGAAGTGGAATATTCTGCAATGGCCGAGTCAATCACCTGATCTCAACCCCATTGAGCATACATTTCACTTGCTGAAGTCAAAACTAAAGGCAGAAAGACCCACAAACAAAGAACAACTGAAGACAGCTGCAGTTAGAGCCTTGCAAAACATCAAAAAAGAGGAAACCCAGTCTTTGGTAATGTCCACGGGTTCCAGACTTCAGGCAGTCATTGCTAGTAAAGGATTCTCAACAAAATATTAAAAATGAACATTTTATTTATAGTTATATTCATCCAATTACATTTGATCCTATATGTATAAAAATGGTTGCAGTTCCTAAAATTTTCACTTGAATTAATATTTATGTTCAACCCCTTGAACTAAAGCTGAAAGTCTGCACTTCAAATTAATTTGGATTGTTTCATTTTAATTGATTCTGGTGACATACAGAGCCCAAAGTATGAAAATTGTGCCTGTGTCCAAATATATATGGACCTAACTGTATATATAAAAAACAGTAACAGATTACTGTCCTGCCTACCTGTTTTTAGCCTCCACAAAAGGGGGAGAAGAATCTGTATTTCCTTCCAGCACATTGTCAATCTCCATTTGAGTTTTCTCAAAGGCTTTCCTCTTCTTGTCATTCAATGATCTGTTGTCTATTGGAGGGAAGTCATAGTAGCCTTTCCTTTTTGCTTTTAGACGCAGTTTGTTGCGGTAGTGCTCTATGTCAGATTTCTGCTTAAGTGCTTTGTTCACCTGATGGAGAAAAGAAGTAAAATATAACATACTGAGCTTCTATAGGGTATACTGCCAAATCCTATTATTACCATGAAAGGAAATGCTACTGCTCCCAAGCTCCTTCAAGCTCCTGTTATCTAAACCCTAGGCAGCCCGGATCACATAACCACTGTCTACCTCAAACACTGTGGATGTTACACCTCATTAGAGACGAAAGGAAGTCTGTGACTTTCAATCAGACAGACCCTGTCTGTAGGGCTATATTTACTATAATGCAACTTGTGTGCCAATGACAAGGGCAACAGGAGAAGAGGACCAAGCAAAATGTGCAACCTTTTAATTTTGGGCACCCCTGGACATTTGTTTCTAAATATGGCAAGCAAACCTATATCATGAAGTATGTTCAGGGGATTTTGAGAGGAGTCTGAAGAAACACTATAATTCAAGAAATATGAAACCATCTTTTTTTTCTTGCTTGTTGGGCTGTACAATGAAAAATTTGAATGATATTAAAACTTTTTTTCATACTATTTAAGATGCTGGTGCTCAGCTTTTTCTTACATTTCTGCAGTTGTATCCTTCTTTTTCATCCTGCCCCCAATGACTTGCCATGACTTTCATTTTCTTTTAGGGCCCTATAAATGGTGTCATGCCCACTTAATTTCCACTTAAATGACACAGAACTCAAACCTTCCAGAACTCATTACCTCCCCCATTTCATCTCTATAACCCCTCCCCGTGCACAGGGAAGATAGCACAGGGAGTTGTCAATTCACAAGCTCCCTGACAAAATTAACTGTTGTTTTTTTGTACATATGGAACAAATATAACAAAACACTTCCAATGGTATACTGAGCAGACCAAAAGTGAGCAAATAAAAGAGTTCATCTTTAGAGTTTTCATACACTTTAAGCTGGTCCATTAAAATGGGTGGTAAGCATAAACAAATACATGTACACTTGCATGTTTAACACGTCAGGAGCATTAACATTCCCTAATATTAATGTTTCTCCATTCTGCCCAATTGATCTGCCTTTCTCGGGGGTTAGGGTCCCTATCTTGCGGCCGACTGCGGAACAAAGCCTCTGAAGTACTGGGCCTGGTCTACTAGTGTGCAAGGCCAAAGTGTTTGGTGGCTTCTCTCCAAGCTTTCAGGTTGAAGCAAGGTAAGAGGAAGGTGTATAAGAACTGGTGGATGATAATATGTGTTCTACATTCTCTCAAAACTACTCTGTGTCAGGTGTCCCTGGAGGGTGTGAAGCATGTTCCTTCTGCTGTGAGGCCTTATGAGGTGGTCTGTCCAGTGACCACAAGGGAGTGCTGACTCACCCATCAACTCAGAAAACTTAAAATTTAGTTGGACAGCATGCAGTTTCTCTGTGCCGTTAACAGGTGGACAAGCTCAGTCACTATCTGGAAATGCCAGAGCCATACCCTGATTTTTTCTAAGTCACAGAATCACTTTAACCACCTCCCACTCGCCATATAGTAATATGATGGGCGCAAGGTGGTTCTCTCATTCTGGAAGGACGTCATATGACGTCCTCCCATTCTCACTCAGGGAGCGCGCAGCACGGCGATCGGCGGTGCGCTGTGTCCCTAGGACACAGCAGATCACCGATCACGGAAAGAGCCGAAGATGTCGGCTCGGTCATGTGGTCAGCTGTGTCCAATCACAGCTGATCACATGTAAACAGGGAAATGCCGGTTATCGGCTTTCCGCAGAGGGGACATGTACACTGATCATCAGGGCACTGATGATCAGTGTGCCCTGATGATCAGTGTAGCCCCAGCAGTGCCACCTGTCAGTGTCCATCAGTGCCTTATGTCAGTGCTCATCAGTGCCTCGTGCCAGTGCCCATCAGTGCCACATCAGTGCCACATATCAGTGCCTACCAGTGCACATCAATGCCACATATCATTGCCCATCTGAGCTGCCTTTCAGTGTCACCCATCAGTGCCAGTCAGTGCCACCTATCAGTTCCAGTCAGTGGCACCTATCAATGCCAATCAGTGCCACCTATCAGTGCTGCCAATCAGTGCCACCTATCAGTGTCAGTCAGTGCCGCCTATCGGTGCCAGTCAGTGCTGCCTATCAGTGCGCATCAGTTGTGGCTATCAGTGCCTGTCAGTGCCGCCTAACAGTGCCAGTCAGTGCCACCTAACAGTGCCAGTCAGTGCCACCTAACAGTGCCAGTCAGTGCCGCCTATCAGTGCCAGTCAGTGCCGCCTATTAGTGCCAGTCAGTGCTGCCTATCAGTGCCATATATCAGTGCCCATCAGTGATGTCTGTCAATGCCCATCAGTGCCACCTACCACTGCCTCCTCATCAGTGCCACTATCAGTGTCCATCAGTGCAGCCTATCAGTGCCCATCAGTGCAGCCTCATTAGCGCACATCAGTGAAGGAGAAAAAATCACTTATTTACAAAATTTTATAACAAAAACTAAGAAAAAACATTTTTTTTTCAAAATTTTCAGTGGTTTTTGGTTTGTTTAAGAAAAAATAAAAAACCCAGAGGTGATTAAATACCACCGTAATAAAGCTCTATCTGTCACAAAAAAATGATAAAAATTTCATATGGGTAAAGTGTTGCATGACCGTGCAATTGTCATTCAAAGTGTGACAGCGCTGAAAGCTGGAAATTGGCCTGGGCAGGAAGGGGGTATAAGTGCCCTGTAGGCTAGTGGTTAATAGACATGGGATGCTTAACAACAATGCTGTACAGCGCTGCATTTTTTCTCGTGGATAACCTTGTTGCTGCGTATTTTGTATTTTTTCCTGTTTGTGTGATTGTGTTAGCGGGGACATCTGCCACGTTATGTTGCTTGTGCTATTTAGAGAATATTGTACTAATTAGAGACTGAGGCAATGTGTGCATCTTTGACAAAAGCCTTTCTACAAACACACAGCAGACTTTCAACCAATCTGTATGAGCGGAGAGAAGACAAAAACAATTTCATTGAACTGTGTTATGTTGTGAGGAAATCTGGCCTGTGTTTTTTCAAATTTTAATTGTTCATGCAAAAACACAAAGCTGAGGAGGCGGAAAAAAAGATGAGAACAACTGGCTGGGATCCTTTCTGAGAACAAGATTTCTTCATTTCTAGAGCTAAGTTACATGTAAGAGGTTTAATCATTTAGTCACAGGAGATTAAAGTGAACTTGTACTTGCATGTGACAAGTGACCACCACTGAAGAAAGCCAGGAGCAGCCTTTTCTCCAGGAAAGTAAAGGTTTTGAGCCATTCTAATTCTTTTTAATTATCTATTTCAGTAAGACTGCAAACATAATATTATAATACACTTGAGTCATTGATTATTGACTCGCCACTGGGGAAACGATTCCTCTTGAAGAAAGCGATCCTTTGGATCTTTCACCAAAGAACAAGTGGCCAATATTTTTAAACAAAAAAAGGAGAAGGTTAGAACCTATGTGAGGCTGTGTGTTACTGTGTGCCTGTACCATCCTGACTTGTTGACCTCCCTTACCCTCACTTTTTGCCCTGGTGTTACTGGGGAAATTCCACCCAACTAAGTCACAGCAATAACAATCGCACAAAAGTTCCAAAATTTTTTACCTTATCCAAAATAAAAAAAAACTTGGGCTTTCAACATTCATCAATGTGATTTATTTTAAAAGGAGCCATAGTTCAACTTTAGGGCTGGTAGAATTCACCAATCAATGAATTCTAAAGGATTCCAGAGGCATCTCAAACTGATGTGAAAAGCCAACTGCATATGCCTGTCGGTACAGACCTTTACCCTGCCTAAGGATGACTCCAGGCCAGGGGAGAACTGGGAATATTTGGCTTGGGGGGGCAACCAAATAGCACTTCATTATAAGGATAGATTACTGTAGGCTAAAGAAATTGTACTGTACAAAATGTGTCCTGATGCTGCATTGATTGGTCAATATGGCGAAAGGTGGTGTTCCCAAAGGACATGATGTTATTATGACATACTCTTACATCTTTCAGAATCAGCTTTCCTTGGTTTTCTTAGCTCTTGTTTACATGATATCTCAAAGCCACAAAGGAAGTCGATACCATAAGACTTTTGTCTTCCAGATGCTATGATCACAAATCTCAGCAGGTGTCTGTATAATGACCACCATGGGTCACTGACTTCAGATCTTATCAGTGTGTGAGTGATAATGTGTCACCATGCAGGGCCACCAGCCCAAGATATCGTAACATTACTGGTTCAGGGGGCAAATGCCCCTTCTCCCCAACTGATTCCTCTCTTGTTCTAGGCCATGGGAATTGGAGGTGAGAAATCAGCTGAAATCTGTCATTTACCCATATCCTTTAATACTGAATATTCAGATTATTGAATAAGTCTACCCAACCTTCATTTACTTTCAACCTCTACACATAGAATACAAACTGATTATATGGATATGTAGTGTAAGGGCCTACACTGCATATAGATTGCATTGAATCTTTAGGCATGCCTTTGTATGACACAATTATTGCTAAAGCTAGGGCTGCCCAAACTCATTTGAGATCGACTATATAGTAAATGGACCTACTTGATTGAATGAATTGTTTAGGTAGGCCCTTATACTACATAGTCTTGTTAATTCTAACATAGATTGTACGTAGATTATACAATAAATAAAACTGTAGGGTGTATGTCCAGCCTGAAGGATTTGATAGTGAAATTTGTTTCCAGCTTACTGCTTTATTAATCCCAACATCCTCCTTGCTTCAAAGATAAATTTGAGGCCTCTCACCTATAAGGCCAGTGGTAATGGTGGACCTTCACAAGGACCCAAATTCTCACCTCTCCATTAATGATGGACATTTCCTGATTTCTATCTGTCACCGACAGTGAAGGCGGCATCGAAACTGGCTTAATTGCAATCAGTTTAACAGAACCAGAAGATGAGTCAAATGGGTCGGGTACCATCTTGTTATTCTTGTCAAAGTGTATATTTCCTTCCTCTTCATCACTTATAGGCACTGTAAGAATAAAATTGTAAAATAAATATATTATATCTACTTCCTTTGCTGAATCAATGTTATAAGCAGTTTTCTAATGCACATCAACTGTACAGATACTTCTCTTAAAGTCAGGATTAGGCCTCACCTCCTCCTAGTGCTAAGTTACACCCTCTGTCATTTAAACATCAGTGGAAAGACAAGCCTCTTTCACAGTTTGCGGAGCTTATTGAAGAAATGTTTTAATCTCAGCTTGGGGGAAAGTCAAGGATGTATATACAAGGGGTTTCATTTAGCTTCCATGTTAAGCTAGGTCAGATTCACTTTTGTAACCCTCTGGAGGGTTGTTTTGGAGGTAGATACCTCTCTGTGTTATTGCATAGAGGTGTATCCAGGCATCATATATATTTTTTTACATAGTTACATTGATCCTGTTTGGACCAATGTAACTGTATATAACCAACCTGATCGATGACCCTGGAGACTGTAAATCACTGAAGTAGAAACTGCGTACTCCAGTGATCGACTTGAAATGTGAGCCTCTAAGCACGAATTGCTATTCAGAGACTGCTTTGCATGCTCTGAAAGAATTTAAAGCATTCTCTGATTGGATAAGGTGGAGAAACAAAGCTTGTCACCAGCTGGTGTAAATAGACTTCTTGTTTCTCTAGGTACAAAATACATTTGAGCTTGTCTACTATCAAGGCCAACATTGCTTATTTGTTATATACACAGAAAAAAAAGCCCTGAAGAAGGGAGCAATGCTCCCAAAATGTGTTGGACTTTTATACAATCTGTGTCTGATCTTGTATGAAAAAAAAATTCAGTATCAATGGACCTAGCCAATGGTGTGGCAATCATACACTCTTACCCTTTGGTTTTAATACTTTTGACAGATTGCATCATTGAGGTCATTTTTAATTTTGCCCATAGTTACAATTACATGTGGCTATCACACAGCCTTCGTAAAACTATAATTTATAATAGCCTTTCTCAACCTTTGTACCTCTGAGAAACCCTTAAAAAATATTCAGGTTCTTAGATAATATCTACAGCTCAGGTTATATTAGCATGATCAATCATATGAAAGAAGTTTTAAATAAAAAATATTTAATGTGGCGTGCCTAGCATATTTGACACAGATTGAAGAACTTTTTTTTACAAACCCCTACAAAATTATTTTCAGTAATATTCTTGAAATAAATAATTGCAGAACATAAATGCAGACAGCAAAAACAATAATGTCCTCAAAAATTAGTGGTCAGTGTGGAAGTAAGGACTTACATTGTTAGCTAGAGGAAAATTGCCTCCTTGAATTTGTGGTCATTGTAGGTGGGAGATCAACCCACCTTTGCTCATTATCCAAGGAACGCTTGGCAACCTCAGGAGGAACTGTAGGGTTCCATGGAACCATGGTTAAGAAAAACTGATTTCTAACTTTGCTATTTCCTATCCTCTTGCAAATCCAGAACTACATACCATTATAATCTGGAAGACATGGAATATTAGCTTGCCCACTATCTAAAATATTACATACACTGTTTGAAAGGGCAAAAGCAAACATAAAAAAGAACAATGGAAAGTTTAAAAAGGACATTGTGGCTGAGGAAGAGGCCAGATGCCAGTGTGAATTGTTTTAATAGGTAGAGAAAAAAGTTATGACTACAGTAAAGCACAGTGGTGAAGCAGCCATTACCATCTTCAGACTCAGCTGGTCCTCATTTAAAGGTCATATCAGATTATTAATAAATTTTTTTGTTTCATCTTTAGCTTCTATCTCTTGAGGCGATGAAATTTAAAGCCATCATTTTAGGCACTTGGAACCTCTACTGTAAAGTATATAATAAAATGTTCCTTGCAAGCAACTAGTTCTAAAGGGAGTGTGACGTGGGTTTACATACATCATTTTCTTATTTTGATTAATTAAGCCAGCAGCTAGTGAATTCAGAGGAAAGGCAGAACTTCTGATCTTTAGCTGTTTCACTTCAGCGGGCCAGAAAGCACTGAAGGTGTTGAATCAAGAACCAGGGATTTAGCATTTTCAAAAGAAGGAACCAGTAATGGTGGGTTGCATACTGTATGTTCATCGTACAGGTGCCCCTGAAATATTTCCTATTTTTAATATTTATTAAACAAAAATTATTCTACAAAAAAAATATTTAAAACGAGGAACATTGATGACACTGGATTCAAAAAGCACTATGGATTTTCCAAACAGAAAGCCCAGCAGAAGCTGTTTTTGTTTCAGACTGTCTATCTGTAACTGAAAGACTGTACTGAGCCATAAAAAGGGGGTTGCACCTCTGGCTCATTCATCCATGTAAGCTTTAGCTGCTGAGCTCTGTAAACAACTTATCTCTAAGAAACGACTGTTCCTAACCCAGAAACCACTAAGCAACTCATTCACTCCCTTATTATATCACGCCTCTACTACTGTAACTCCCTCCTCATTGGCCTACCTCACCGCAGGCTATCCCCACTTCAGTCTATCATGAATGCTGCTGCCAGACTCATCCACCTCACTAACCGTTCTGTATCTGCCACCCCTCTCTGCCAATCCCTCCACTGGCTTCCAATTGCCCAACGGATAAAATTCAAAATGCTAACACTGACATATAAAGCCGTTCACAACACTGCCCCAAATTACATCACCGATCTTGTCTCCAAGTATCACCCAAACCGTACTTTCCGCTCCTCACAAGACCTCCTACTCTCTAGCTCCCTTGTCTCCTCCTCCCATGCTCATCTCCAGGACTTCTCCAGGGCTTCCCCCATCCTCTGGAACTCCCTACCACAATCCATCAGACTATCGCCTACTCTGCTCACTTTTAGGTGCACTCTGAAAACCTATCTCTTCAGGGATGCCTACCCCCTGCTTTTCTGCAGCATCTCCATTTAAGTCTATAGAACAAAAAACACAACATTTTGCATTTAAAAAAGTCACTGACCCTTTCCAAAAATGCATTGGGTGCAAACGCAAGAGATGTGAACCTGTCCCATAGGCTAGACTTACTGTTTAGCACAAGGGAAAATACTCCACACAGGATCTTCCCGCTAACGTGCTTCTCCCCCTACTTGTGCCTAATCATAGAGCAATAGTGTATGTTTGGGTATATATCAGTGGTCTCCAAACTGCAGCCTGCAGGCCAGATTTGGCCCTTTGCTAGGTTTGTTTTTCAGTCCCTAGGGCACGATTCCTCCCACTAACACCAACAGTGAGACACCTTTTGCTGACATCAACTGTGGGGCATCATTCCTTCCACTGACAGCAATCATGGGGCACTATTCCTCCCACTAAAATCAATAGGGCACTATTACTCCCACTGATACCAACAAAAGGGCACCATTTCCCCACTGACACCAATGATGGGGCACTGTTCCTCCCATTGATGCCAATAATGGGGCCCTATTCCACATCCTACTGACCACAGGCATTCTCCAATTTTTTGCTCCCACTGACCACCAAGCCTGAGGCATTGTTTAATCCCACTGATGCTGGGACATTTTTTACTCTCACTGGCCACAGTCCATCCCCTACTCTTTGTTTAGAAAGTTTGAAGACCCTGGTATATATGCTTGGTAATGATTGGTAATGATTAAGATGGTAGTAATGGTATCAGTAAGAGGTAAGTAAACCTTTAAGCACTAAATGATAATTATTATGGAGAGTGTATATATACATTTTGCGCCCTCTTGTCCTTTTGCTATATGATCAAGCCCCAGATCTCAGAGGGGAGGGTAATGGGTGGAGACTCTGTGCTTGTGCTTAACATAAAGTAAATTTTACTTTTTGGAATTAGTGTGTGGCTCCAGAACTTTGGTGAGTGGTGTGTGGGAGGAGTGGACCCTGGCAGAATGAGCACCTGTGAGCTGTAGCTAAGGAGTGCGGAACTCTTAGGGGGCGGCTTCATCTTTTGTGACCTTCAAAATCAACTTGGGTGAATTTATCTTAAAGTTTCCTTAAGCAGAGGCCTTTTCGTTGTGTATGAATTACTAAAATGCAGTAAAGCTGGCCATACAGTGGGGCAAAAAAGTATTTAATCAGCCACCAATTGTGCAAGTTCTCCCACTTAAAAAGATGAGAGAGGCCTGTAATTGGCATCATAGGTAGACCTCAACTATGAGAGACAAAATGAGAAAAAAAATCCAGACAATCACATTGGCTGATTTGGAAAGAATTTATTTGCAAATTATGGTGGAAAATAAGTATTTGGTCACCTACAAACAAGCAAGATTTCTGGCTTTCACAGACCTGTACCTTCTTCTTTAAGAGGTTCCTCTGTCCTGCACTCATTACCTGTATCAATGGCACCTGTTTGAACTTATTATCAGTATAAAAGACACCTGTCCACAACCTCAAACAGTCACACTCCAAACTCCACTATGGTGAAGACCAAATAGCTGTTGAAGGCTGTTTCTCCGCAAATGGACCAGGATGACTGATCCATGTACAGGACAGAATGAATGGGACCATGTATAGTGAGATTTTGAGTGCAAACCTCCTTCCATCAGCAAGGGCATTGAAGATGAAACGTGGCTGGGTCTTCCAACATGACAATGATCCCAAACATACCGCCCGGGCAACGAAGGAGTGGCTTCGTAAGAAGCATTTCAAGGTCATGGAGTGGCCTAGCCAGTCTCCAGACCTCAACCCCATAGAAAACCTTTGGAGGGAGTTGAAAGTCCGTGTTGCCCAGCGACAGCCCCAAAACATCACTGCTCTAGAGGAGATCTGCATGGAGGACTGGGCCAACATACCAGCCACAGTGTGTGCCAACCTTGTGAATACTTACAGGAAACGTTTGACCTCTGTCATTGCCAACAAAGGATATATAACAAAGTATTGAGATGAACTTTTGATATTGACCAAATACTTCTTTTCCACCAAAATTTGCAAATAAATTCTTTCCAAATCAGCCAATGTGATTGTCTGGATTTTTTTTCTCATTTTGTCTCTCATAGTTGAGATAATGCCAATTACAGGCCTCTCTCATCTTTTTAAGTGGGAGAACTTGCACAAT